TATTTCCAGGAAAATGTTTGCTCGGCTCTGGGGATTGGTGTGACTGAACCTACTTATTTAAGGGTTAACAAGTGTATTTCCAGGAAAATGTTTGCTCGGCTCTGGGGATTGGTGTGACTGAACCTACTTATTTAAGGGTTAACAAGTGTATTTCCAGGAAAATGTTTGCTCGGCTGTGGGGATTCGTGTGACTGAACCTGCTTATTTAAGGGTTAACAAGCATATTTCCAGGAAAATGTTCAATAAGCTAAGGACACTTATAAAGTTATTATGGTATTAAATGTTTTGTATTGTATATATATCGACGAATTTCCCACTTCAGTCTTACAGGTTGGCAATGTTTTCTTCATGGTCAGGCTATAAAAAATGTTGAATAAGTGTAATGATCTAAAAATCATATATACAAATAAGTATTAGAAATAATTAAGAACCTCTGGTCAGATTGTAAGCTGATTATATAGATATAAAAATCTTAACCAAAAACTAATATATAAATTAAGCCAATCTTGTCTGGTTACTGACTGGAATTAATTAACATCATTAATCAGTATACACAAAAAAACATAACCCATAATTATTGGAATACATGACTCATGATTTGTACTGATGCTATTAATGATATTTTGACCATAATTCCAATAGTATCTTACTAATTTTTGCCACATTAAGTTAGTCCTAAAACCACATATGAAACCAAAAATGCAAGGGCACCCTCTTTAAGTGTAAAAATTAACTACAAATATATACATATATATCCATAATTCTTTTAAACAGCACCTACAATAATATTAACACCAGCCATTAGTACCTGTAAGTCACACAACTTCCCAATAAACAAATCTTGGACTGGTGCCACGTGTATAATACACCACTCTCTTGTAAGTAATGACACTGTTATTAACTTCAAGACTTAATATGGATGATAGACACCACAGAGGATCGAGTTCAGGAACTTTTGTAAACATGCTTAATGATGTTTCAGTTTGAATTACTGGATGTTTTTCATTGTTATAAAGTGTATATGTATATATGTTTTTGCAAATAGTTGATTTACAGAATTTCTTTTTACCTCCATCCTTGTAGAAATGGATGTCAACACAAGAGACCAAGGTTGACTTGTCGGCCCTCTTTATGCCACGGCAGCCACCCATGAGCAAGGAAGAAGCTGTAAGAGCTAATCAGATCTTTATCTTAATTGTTTAAAAAAAATGTACTTTTCTCCTCTAATCATCTTGACTTTAATCAGACTTACAAAAGAAAGAGTGCATTTAAATCTGAGTAAGTATTCAAAAACTTTAACTGTCAATGTTATAAAAATTTTCTGCTAGCAAAAGCAACCCTGTGAAAACGGTGGTGAATTTTTTGTTGTTGTTTCGTATTATTGCCATTACCTTGTAAAAATATTGGTAATTAAGTAAATTAACCTGACAGTTCTGTACATTAACATCTTAAACCTCGCTCCTGTTGGACCTGTCTGTGTAGTTATAGAACTCAGTTTTATTCTCTTGCTTACTTGAGCTTCTAGATGGCTAATGGCTCCAACAATTTATTTTATGATTTATTTCAAGTGTTTCATTTTACAAACACAGATGGAAGATGATACTGGTGCTTTTGAGTTTGTGTACAGATTACTTCTACGGAGTTGTAATTATATTTATGGAGTTTTGTTTTTTTATTGTATTGTCAAAAGAAAAACTTATTTATGTCATTTATGAATTGTTTAATAAACTACAAATGACAGTATTATCACGAGGTACAAGTTTTGGCATCAGGTTTTATAAAAACCGAATGTGCATTTTAGTTTTCTGTTCTGGTAAGTATAGTAGTACAGTTTTGAAAACGTTTTGTTTTTCTTATTTCCCAGGCTCAGTTAGTAGAAGAATGGAACGAAGATCTTGAAGCTATGGAAGCTTTAGTTTTAGAAGGAAAAAAATTTGTTAAACTTCCTAAAGAAGAAATAGGTAAGAATGTGTTTTGTTTCATCCATGATACACAAGAATAAACTGTATAATAGTGGATCATTTTTGTAATATACAAAAATTTGATATTTCTTTCATATAAACTTTTTAAGTTTTAAATTTTAATGTTTTGTTTGGAATGCTTACTTTTAAGCCAGGAAGAATTGTTTTTTGTTTACATGTATGCAGAGAAATTATTGTTCATATTACATCTGTATTTTGTGATCTTTTGTTTTCTTCACATACTTTTATAATTTTTAGTGGTAAAAGTACACGTGTCAGACACGTATTCTTCTAGTTAGTAATATACATTTATGGAAAATAGATTATTTAGGTAAGATTATCCTGTTTAATCAATAACACATCTATGGAAGAGAGATTAGTTGAGTAAGATTATCTTACTTAATCAATAACAGCCTGTGGTAGAAGAAAGATTACCTAGGTAAGATTATCCTAATTAATCAGTAATACACCAATGAAGAGAGATTATTTAGGTAAGATTATCCTCATTAATCAATAACACATCTATGGAAGAGAGATTAGTTGGGTAAGATTATTTTAATTATTCAGTAACAGCCACCTGTGGAAGAGAGATTCGTTGGGTGAAAATGATCCTACTTCATAAATGATATGGAAAATGTGAGATGTTCACACCCATCTTGAGTCTTGGGGTCACACCTTCAACAAGTAAAAGCAACCCATTTTTTAGTCATCCCTACCATGGTTATGGTGAAACCAATGGGCAGAAGCATTGGTGACTGGTACCGTCAGTGGATGACCCATCATGAAATGGTCAGTATAGGGGGGAACTTATCTGAGTTAGTAGGGATGTAGTTAGTGGGTGTATGGTGTAGAAAAGAGTTACTTTTTCTCCTTAAAAACACCCATGACAGTAAATAAACAGAATCGTAATTTGTTGTTGGGTGGTAAAACCCTCATGCCTGATGAATGACTGGGGAAGAGACTCATAATGATACCAGTTAGAACTGGTGATGATGCTGGTGAACCAAAACTAAAAGGAAAATCAATGGCTGGTGGACCCAGATCAGAAAGGGTTGGCTTGAAGTCATGGAATTTCAATCACAATGCATCAAGGAAAACTGGGTAGTCTGTTGAGAGAGGTGGATTGATGTAATTAGATATAACTGGAAATGAAGTAGACAGGAAGAACTAGTTGAATGATGGGAATGGATAAGATCCTGACATAATGATTAGTGTGGCAATAGTAGTATCAAAGGAAGTGATACAAGCATAGTTAGGATACAACCCTGAGAATAATTGTGTCGCATCAATACACTAGACGTTACAGCAGATGGTGATCCCATAGATATAGTAGAATAATTCAACTTCCTCTGTATTAGCAGCTAAGTGATACAGAGAAGACTGGGGATGGGCTAGGGTCACAGATACATTTAGTGAACTGTATGGATGTGAGTCATGATCATTGAATGAAGCAAAGAAAAACACAAAAGATCAGTGCATTTGAATTGTGATCTCGGGTACGTCTGCTACATATTTCATAGACTGAAAGTGGGATCAGTGTATGATACGTCTTGGAGCAAGTTGGAAACCTAGATAGCATTTCAAACATTATTAGTTACAAGAAACTAGATTACTTTGGTCATACAATAAGAGATAGAGACAATCTGGAGAAAGTGGTGACATAAGGAAAACTTTATGGAAAGGGAGCCTGAGGTCATCCTTGGACTAGATGGAATGGTGGGATAAAGATGCTAATATAGAAAAACCTTGATAGGTTGAATGAGGAATACTGTGAAAAACTGGAGAAAACTCAGCCAAATCTCTGAATATGATGACAATTGTTCTGATTATTTTAACTGCAAAGGTTAATCCTGTAAAACAAAAGTCTGTTAATTTATTTTAAATTACTTTATTGTTCATGGTACATTAGTTAATAATAGTAAATATGATACTGAAGGTATTATTTCATTGTATAAAAGAAGTGGGGTGTAAATAGGACATTTTCTTTGCTTTGTATAGGTCACTTCTACAGCGAGGATTGCTATGTGTTCCTCTGCCGATACTGGGTGGTCTTGGAGCCTCCTGAAGGAGAGGAGCTGACTGAAGGGGAAGAGCATGAATTACAGGACGAAGACTATAAGTGTGTGGTATATTTCTGGCAAGGCAGAGACGCTACAAATATGGGATGGTTGACATTCACTTTCAGGTACGACTGAAGTAAGAGTTCTAATATTTAAATAAGACAATATTATTTCTTTCCAGCCTGCTGTTAGTGTAATGATGACTACTTCATGGTTCTGTAAAAACTCAAAGTTTTTTTTTATTATTTAATACATTATCTCTTTTGGGATAAAAAAAAATTATAATCAATGAATCTTTTACCAAGGTTTTAGATTTTTTTAAAACAATGTCTGTTATAAATGAATAAAATCCATAAGAAGTAGGACTAACTTCCCATATGGTTACAGGCGTATTAGTCACTCACTAGCACTAACAAGTGCACAGTAAACCTTCATCATTGATATGACATGCTTCAACATCAATAGTTTTAGTTCTTTCGTATGTAATATTTCTTATTACTCAAAATCAATACTAAAGTAACAACCAGAGGTGTTTTCTCGTTAATTTCTTGCATACTTAGACACCTATACTTTTTTTTTTTATTTAGTCTGTTCTGTTACGAAGAATGGTAACTTGTAAAACTAGGCCAACTTTATCATTGAGAGCAAGGTTCAGACTCGTGTATTACTGAACTTGTTGTAAGGCAAACCATGTTAAGAAAATGTTCAAAGCTGCAGAGTAACTGATATTATGTTTAATAAGTTCCACACATGAAATACAAATCATTGGACAAAGATGTTTTCATCAATATTCTAAATGATTGTGAACAATCAGTACACTAAATGTTACAGCAGATGGTGAGTGGTCCCATAGATGTAATAAAGGAATTCAACTTTCTTTGATACTCTATATTAAACACTGATGGAAGCAGTTTAGTGATACAGAGAAGACTGTTTATTGGTGTGTAAGTAAACAAAATATATTGGTACTCCATTCTTGTAATCGAAGAGCTGACCGTATCTCAGTTGAACATTGATTTATGACTTGCGTGGCTAGAACAGCTACTGCCTGTTAAAGGGAATATTGTGGTAATTGAAATAAAAATTACTGTTCCAATTGGAAGAGAAACAGTACTCTTATAAAGAGTAAAGTTGAATAGCAACCAGTAATATTGATTTCAGACAAATAATAGTACAATACAAGTAAGAGTAATTTCCATGTAGTTACGATGGTGAGACAGTCACAGATTGGCACCAACAGATGCTTTGGTAAAGCTTCATTGTTAATATGACGTACGTTTTATTCTATTTGATGGAACATGTATTTAAAACTTACAAGACTTAATCTGTACTACTCATCTGTTTTCCTAGAGCAACCCTGAAGTCAGTTGAAAATTAATTTTTTATTGAAAATCTTATTTTTTTCCAGCTATGTAAGATGTTACAGCATATTCTAGTTTAACATTATTAACTCTCATCTCTAAGTGATGTCTGTATTATAAACTATCTCTTCCAAGGGATTGTCATATTTTTTCTTTGATTGGAAGTAGTTGCGTTACATATAATAACTGAAGTCCTGATAATACTGCACTTTGTACTTTTTAATGAGTTCTACTTTTAATATTTCTATAACTAAAGGATTACTTTGATGTAAAATAATAAAGTATTGATTAACAAAAAGGGTTACTAAATGAACTTTTGTAAAGAGTTTGAAGATGTTCAAACAAATTTGACGTATTTCAGTATTTTAATTTTCTAACAAAACTTTTTTCACAGCTTACAAAAGAAATTTGAATCATTGTTTGGGGACAAACTTGAAGTGGTCAGAACACATCAGGTAAAATTTTCTTTTCTTTTAAAATATATTTCAGTTGATAAGCTGTTTTTGTTGG